TCTAGTTTCTCTGTGCTCAGCTATATATTTAAATACAATGTTGCAATCTTTTTTTTTTGAGACAGAGTCTCACTGTGTTGTCCAGGCTAGAGTGCCATGGCGTCATCCTAGCTCACAGCAACCTCAAACTTCTGGGCTCAAGCAATCCTACTGCCTCAGCCTCCCAAGTAGCTGGAACTATAGGCATGTGCCACCATGCCTGGCTAGTTTTTTTATGTATATATATTTTTTTAGTTGTCCGGCTAATTTCTTTCTATTTTTTTTTAGTAGAGATGGGGTTTCGCTCTTGCTCAGGCTGGTCTCGAACTCCTGAGCTCAAACAATCCACCCGCCTCGGCCTCCCAGAGAGCTAGGATTACAGGCGTGAGCCACCGCGCCCAGCCTGCAATCTTTTTTAATGTTTAAAATATTTGTATCAGGAAGGATTCTATGGTAATTCAGTTACCTGTTCCCAGAACCCTTTGTGGTAGACTCAGTTACCACCACTCCCAAGAAGTTGCCACATCCCAATCCTTGGAATGTACAAATATGTTACCTTATATAGCCAAGGGGACTTTGAAGATGTGATGAAATTAAGAATCTTTAGATGGGGAGATTCATCTGGATTATCCGGCTGAGCTTTATGTAATCACATGGGTTTTTATAAGAGGGAGGCAGGAGGGTCAGAGCCAGAAAAGGGGATGTGCTGAGGGAAGCAGGCTGTGGTCTGAGAGATTTGCAGTTCGGATGCTGCTGGCTTTGCAAGGAATGCCGAGAAATGCGAGTAGTCTCAAGAAGCCAGAAAAGGCAAGGAAACAGATTCCTCCTCTAGAGCTTCCAGGAGTACAGCCTGACACTGATTTCAGCCTACTAAGATCCATGTTGGACTTCTGACCTCCACAACTGTAAGACAATGAATTTATGTTGTTTGAATCCCCTATGCTTGTGGTGATTTGTTAAAGCAGGAATAGGGAACCGTCTTAAATGGCTTTAGAGGGTTGCCTGGTAGTAGTAATTGGAAAAGAATGAAAACTGTGTTAAAGACACAGCAGAATCAACTTGGTGAGGAGTACCCTTGACAGAGAGCTGTATATTAAAAGGAAGCAGCCTCTTCTTTCCCATATCTGGGGAAAAAAATAATCAGAACAGAAATATTTGTGAATATTCTTGATAATGTTTTCAATAATAGCGTAATGCCTATTCTGAGAACGAGACTAGTGTTTTCACTACCCCTTTGGTTGTAGAAATTACTTTTTAAAAGGGGAATAGATTCTCATTATTAATGAGCCTATTAGTTGGCAACTGAGTGGGCATTGAACAGTTTTCTTATTTTGCTGAAATGTTGGTGTTGTAAATAGAGTATTTGGTTTGCTGGGTGGTAGGAAGCTGACAGGGATGCCTGAATGCCTCCCTCTTGCTCCATGGTAGAGACTCAAGTAAAATATCAGGCAGTTTCTGTAACAATGACCAGTTGCTGACGTCCGCTTCCAAACATGTGAATTGTTCTGTATTTGTTTTCTAGAGCTGCTGTGGAAAATTACCACAAACTTGGTGACTTAAAAACAAGAGAAATTTGTCCTTTCACAGTGCTGGAGACCAGACGTTTGAAGTCAAGGTGTCCACAGAGTCAGGCTCCCTTGGGAGGCCCTGGGGAGGAATCTGTTCCTTGCCTCTTCTGTCTCCTGGTGGCTGCCGGCATTCCTTGGCTTATGGCTGCAGCAATCTCTGCCGCTTTTCTTTTTTTCACCTTCTCCTTTGTGTGTGTGTCTCTCTAATTTCTCTCTGCCTCTCTCTTATAAGGATACTTGTGATGACATTTAGGGCCCACCCGATAATCCAGGTTAAGCTCCTCCTCTTAAGATCCTTAAATTAATCACATCACATCTTTTGGCCATAAAAGGTAATAATCATTCTTTTGCTACATAGAGTAATATTCACGAGGGGGGGGGCAGTCATTTTTCAGCCTACTTCTTGCTACCTTACTGTTTCTTTGCAGTCTTTGGTCTATTCTGTTTGCCTGGATTGTTTTGAATTATTCTTCCACATTCTGGCACACCTTGTAACAATCTCAGGTGTAGCAATTATTCGTCCCATTGTAATTTTTCATTCTCTCTTACACTGACTTCTAGAGAAAGGGTCAGAAAACTACAGCTCACAGCCCAAATCCATCCCATTGCCTGTTTTTGTACAGCCTGCCAGCTAAGAATGGTTTTACATTTTTAAATGATTAAAAAAAAAAATCAAAGGAAGGATAATAGTTTGTGATACGTGAAGATTATATGAATTCAAATTTCAGCATGTGTGGAATAAGGTGTTATTGAAACACAGGCTTGCTCATTTGTTTACACGTTGTGTATCTCTGCTTTTGTGTACAATGGCAGAGTTGAATAGTTGTGGCAAAGACCGCGTGACCTGCAAAGCCTGATAGAAAATATCTGGCCCTTTACAGAGACAGTCTGCCAACTCCTGTTCTTGTAGGAATGTCTTATCTCTGGCTTTCAGCACATACTGGGCACCAACTATTTGCTGATGAATAATTATTATTTAAGAATATATAACTGTTGATATTCTTAATATTTAAGAATTTCATTAATATAGGAAGGATTTGATATGATTCCCAAAAGGATTCTTTAAAACTGTGGGGTTAGGAGAATGTTATATATGATATGATTCATATATAACATTTTATATTTTTATATTTTTTGACTCTAAGACTTAAAGGATGGAATATAGTCCTGCTCATGAGCTTAACCGAATTAGGAAATAAACATCACAGCCAGAACTTGATGTTGGCTAGTGGGATGGTTAATTTTATGTGTCCACTTGGCTAGGTTGTTTGATGAAACACTAGTCTAGATATTGCTGTGAAGGCATTTTGTCGATGTGACTAGCATTTACAGTTAGATGACTTTAAATCAGATTACCCTCCATCATGTGGGTGGGCCTCCTCCCATCAGTTGAAGCCCTTAAGAACAAAGATTAAGGTGTTCTGAGGAAGAAGGAATTCTGCTTGTTTCTAGCTTGCTGGCCAGTCCCACAAATTTCTGACTTGTCACTCACAATAATCATGTGAGCTGGTTCTTTAAAATCTGTCTCCGTCTCTCTCTCTCTCTGTCTCATTTTCTCTCGATAGGTAGATCTAGATCTAGATACTTCCTTTTGGTTCGGTTTCTCTGGACACAGAAACACAGCCGGCTGCTCTGAAGTGTTGCAGACGTGGCGCATCCTCAGTGTTCAGTCCCAAGCTGCAATGAGGATACTAAGCATAGCCCTCTTGCCTGGCATCACCCGGCCCTTCTTCCTTCGCACCTCCCTCAGGCTTCTGTCTCTTACGGCTTGTGAAAGGAGATGTGTTATATTCGAATACCACAAAGTCAGAAATAAGCTCACTTGTGAAGAGGCCTTTTCCTCAGCCCAAGATTGTTTCAGGTTGTGAGAAGACTGTGAGTGAGGACGATAAAAATGAAACAGAAGCAATGGGCCTGCTGATAAGGGGCTGTTGAGAAAGTCACAGGGACGAGACAAATTTCTGAGTGACAAATTGGTGAAAAATTTTTCCCCCTCCTTCTTCTTCCAAAAATAAAAGCTTGCTGTGTGTACCACCAAGTCCACAGAGCTCCCTAACTTGGTTCTATCGTGCCACAGATGGTTCCTTTTATTCTCAAGCTTTGCCTCATTGGCAAAAATACAAAAATATTTTGGATAAAAATACAAATAAATGCTCAATATTTTGCTTGTGTCTCTACATGTGTACGAAGTTTTATATACCAGTAAATGTTGAATTTGTCTGCTAAACTATTGTATTACATATGAAAAATTGCACATTTGAGCAGAAAAAGATCCATTTGACTAAGTGGTGATTTATTATGTTTCTAAAAAGGCTTATCAGGCTTTAAAGGGTGCTAGAAAATATATTTTGATATTTTGATTCTTCCCAACTGGATGTTGTACTGTCAGATTGCTCCAGGGAAATAGCTGGCCCAGGGCTGAATTGAAGATTCTGTCTCCTTCCTGTTCCACGGCCCCTCCCCCATCCTTCCCCTGTACCTATTTAAGCCACATCTACCAGTGAATTATCATCTTTATGTGGCATAGTATTTACTTAAGTGTTATTTTCAAGAAGTAATTGTAACTTTGAGTTTGACAGGTCCTAACCATTAGGCCTGTGTTCTGCTTTTCAGATGGTGTTTTATAAATATATAAATAAAATGATTGGAATATAAAATACTTTGTTTTTGCTCAGAATGCTATTTCACTCTAAATAGCTAAAATCTCTTGTACTCTTTTTATCTTGCTAAGAGTTTTAATGGTCTCTCTCTATATACATGATTTCTAATAGAATAGATATAATGACATTTAAAGCAATTCATTTCAGCAACAATTCTGTGAGCAATTTTTGAGTGTTCCCCCGGCACCTGGTCCTGGGGATGTAGAGAGGTGAAAATATGTGGGTCCTCACTCTTCAATTGCTCCCAGTCCCCCGGGAGAGACAAGCTTGGAAACACAATGTGCTATGAAGGGAACTATAGAATCATATTCAAGGAACAGAGATTGCCCAGAGAAGGGAGGGATTGCTTCCATCTATTTGGGACCAGGGAGACATCACAGAGAAGGTTACAGTCCAGCTGGGCTTTGAAAGAAAGATAAGCGATTTCCATGTGAAGAGATTCATGTGTTGGACTGAGCTGTGTCAGCATCTAGAAGTTTTACATACACTATTACTTCAAAAGCTTATGTAGCACGCATTTAGGCTTAGTAAACCAGATGACCTCTGCGGATAATTTTATATATTACTGTTAGACTTTATTTTGAAAGCATGACTGAGGATTAATATAATTTTTTAAAACAATACCACCCACTAAGATTTTGTGTGTATTCTAGTATTGAGTATTAGCACTTACTTGTAAGAAATTAAGTAGGTGCCTGAGAAATGTTCTTAATGTTTAATAAACTGACATTTTCCCTATTCTCTCTCTCTCTCCCCCCTGCCTTCCTCCGTCCCTCCCCTGTTGTTCTTGCAGTTGGTTAGTCTGTTGCTGATTGGAATTGCTGCATGGGGCATTGGCTTCGGGCTGATTTCCAGTCTCCGGGTGGTTGGCGTGGTCATTGCCGTGGGCATCTTCTTGTTCCTGATTGCATTGGTGGGGCTGATTGGAGCAGTAAAACACCATCAGGTGTTGCTATTTTTTGTATCCTTTTTTTAAAGTTGGTATTTTTACCCCAATTGGGTTCTTACTCATTATTGATTACTATTTTGATAGCTACAACTAGTTTAATGTTATCATTAGGAAATGAGTTGCCAGAAAGCAGCTCCTAGCAAGTGTTACGCATATTTGTTCACGCACTATTAGGAATATACCTTAGGGTAAAGTTACTGTATATTTCCATATTCCCACTGTGCCTCCTCACATCATGAAGAATGCAGTCTGCAAATTTAGTATAGTCCTATTTCTGTATTGCAAATTCAGAGTTAAGTTGAATTGATTGAGTGACCTCTAGGCCCTTTGTAAATACATTAATACTTGGTTGAGAATTTCACAGTCCTTTTTAATTTAATATTAAGGAAGCTTGCATATATTTATCTATACTTATTTCCTATTTTATATATGTAAGAATTTTTATTTTATTCTAAATGAAATTCTAATAGATATGTTTTAATTATATAATTATCATCATTAGCATTTTTCTGTACGCACTTCTAGCTACAGTGTATTATCAAAATAATAATGTGCAGCCTGTTTGTGCTTTCTCTAAGTGCCATCTGTTCTGTTTTCTGGATGGATTGCTTGTAGTGCATTCTAAAGTTGTCAGTACCTCTGTTTTATGCTATTTTAAGAGTATTTAGAAGTATCCTTAACTTTTAACTCTCAGTATATGATTATTCTCTTACTTGTATTTATTGTTCAGTTTTCTGTATCTTGTGCTTGTTTAGCCCTGAACCAGGAGCAACAGGTAAGCAAAGACCTTTTTCTTCTGCTTTGTTATAGAATATATTATAGCATGAGTATGAAAAAAGGGAGAGAAATGATTAGAATAGAAAATCATTTCTTCTTGCTCAGAATGCTATTTCACTCTGAATAGCTAAACTCTCTTATTCCTAATTGCATTAGTGGAGCTGATTTCAGCTGAAGACACCATCAGGTGTTGCTATTTTTTGTATCTTTTAAATAGAAATTTGTTCTCACTCGGTAAAAAGAGCTACTGCTAAAAAATGTTCCCTCAGTCTTTACCCACCATTATGCAATGAAACATTTGCTCCAGAATGTTTGCAGTTCCATTCTAGCAATGATTCTTTTCAAACTATCATTTGAGTAGAGGAAAAAAGGTTTCTGTCTTGTGGCAACAGAAGGTTTGTCTTGTTACACTCTGAGAATTATGCCTTTGAACCAAGTGCTGCTTTTAAATTGCATGTACAAATTAAGACTTTTTCATTCTTGGGATAGAAATAGTGCCTTAATTTTTGTTGCAGATTGAAAGATAAGCCTTTGAAAAGTTTTATAATTTTAAATACAATGATTTTATAAAGAACATTTATTTTAGGTACACTCAGTACTAAAAGTTATAGGCTCTAGCTTTATATATTTTATGCAGAAATGACACCTTTTAATGTATACATTAAATACATTTTCTAGGGTCAGCTTCTGGAGGTTGGTTGGAATAATACAGCAAGTGCTCGAAATGATATCCAGAGAAATTTAAACTGCTGTGGGTTCCGAAGTTTTAACCCAAATGACACCTGTCTGGCTGTAAGTAGAAAGTATAAAATATTCTTTTGGAAGTGTATTACATATGGATGAATTATGATTAACATGGAAGAAATGGTCTTTTTGATGATAAATTGTTTCAAAATTGTTTTACATGTATTATGTTTACATATTCACTATTGTATCATTTGCTGTTCTCCAATATCCATTCTCAAGAGTGCTGTGTATTTCAGGCTTTGGTTTATTGTTATTATACAGAAGCTTTTGGTTTACTGTCCCTGATTTCTTCCCATTCTACTCCTCCTAGAACAAGTCATGAAAGAGAAATAACAGTAGCTCAGATCATGTGTGTTTAGATTTTGGGGAAACTCCCATTATCATCTCCCTGAGCTCTGAGCTGGACAGCCCAGCAAGGAGGCCCTTTTTGTGAGATTATCTCCTTGTAGGGGTTAGTATTACTTTTCTATTGCTGTGTAACACATTCTCACAAATTTAGTGGCTCAGAAAAACACTCATTTGTTATCTCAGTTTCCGTGGGTCAGGCATCTGGCCATAGCTTAGCTGGGTCCTCCGCTCAACGTCTCACCTGGCTGAAATCAAGGTGTTTGTTAGCTGATGTTGCAGTCTCACTTGATACTTGGGATCCTCTCTCAAGCTCAGTGGTGACTGGCAGAATTCACTTCCTCATGGTTGTAGGACCAAAGCCCCTGTTCTCTTGCTGCCCGTTGGCAGGAAGTCTTTGTCAGCAAATAGAAGCTGCTCTCGGGTCCTAACCATGCTACCCTTTTATAACGAGGCAGCATCAAAGTCACCATGAGAATCTCCATGCTGTTGGGATGCAGTCCCATGTAATGCAACATAAACATGGGAGTGACTGTCCCATCACATTCACAAGTTCTACCCACGCTCAAGGGGAGGGATTCTATAGGACATAGATACCAGGAGATGGGAGTCTTAGGGCCGTCTTAGAAACTTGCACTCTAAAAAAACAAGGACTCAGATTGGATATAATATCCCCAGATATTGTGTGCAGTTTTATGTGCTCTTTATACATACACTTTGGAGTAAAAGTTCTTTTCTTTAATTGATACAGAGCTGTGTTAAAAGTGGCCACCCGTGCTCACCGTGTGCTCCAATAATAGGAGAATATGCTGGAGAGGTTTTGAGATTCGTTGGTGGCATCGGCCTCTTCTTCAGTTTTACAGAGGTATGTGCAAATCACTCAGTATTTTTCCTCCTTTGTCACAGGGATTCCTGTTTTGTATGGCAAAAGGGCATGGCATTTTTCCTTAATTTTTGGAATATTTCAGTGGATATTTTCATTGAGAATTAGCATTGGGAAAGGAAGAACCCTGGCTTGGCATCAGAACATCCACAAATCTAACACTAACTTTAGCGTGAAATGCTTGAT